TAACAAAATACCTTAAACCAACTATTTACACTTGCTACATTGATGTTAGATTGGTATGAAGTAAAAATACGAAGTTAAATACCTGGAAAACATCTTCAAAAATAACCGTTTTTACTTCTCAGACGAACTCGACATCAATAACAGAATTCTAGTTTTAAAATTGACAACTGCAAAAGATTCGCTTATAAAATACGTGTCTACTCAGGTCAACGCCATGTCTGCTTAACTACAACAGCGAATGTCCGCACAGATTGAAAATAGAAATCATAAATAATTGAATATCTTTCGCACGCGTTATCTTTTCTAACATACATTTAAAATAAGCATTAACCAAATGTCCTTATATATATATATATATATATATATATATATATATATGGACATTACTTTTTACATCAGCTTGGAATTTACTGGATCAATATATCCAGTAAATTCGACGCTGATGAAAAAGTAATGGACTTAACTAAAAATAGTAATAATATATATATAAAGACATATTTATATGTTCTTTCCATAGATATAAATATTTAAATGCTCTGTTTATAATAAGCAGTATTAACATTTACCAGCTTAAATGTCCGAGAATTTTTCATAGAAAATACGCATCCTCCGACAGAAATCGAACCTTTATCCTATACGGAACCGTCATATAGCCTGACATACTTTACAGATTTAGCCACAGAGGAGCGTTTCGGTTAACAAGTTCAATTTTACTTTTTTTAAAACTAATATATATATATATCAAAAAGAAGGGAGAAATCGCAAACGTTTTTGGTTGTAATGTTGATTTTTTAATATACACACCTTTCTATCGTTGGAACAACTATAACATCTTCCCTTTACACACACACACACACACACATACACACACACACACACACACATATATATATATATATATATATATATGTATGTATGTATGTATGTATGTATGTAAAGGGAAATGTTTTCGATTTTCATCATTTCAAGTCATCGTCAGGGTATGTAGAGAAAAATTAATTTTGTACAACTGGTGAGTGTAGTGACATATGTGTTTATATACATTTTAGAATGCAGGCTCTTAAATTAAAATTGGACCTTATTTTTTCCGGATGGGTGATATGTTACATTCTGGTATATTTTGGAACACTGTATTTCAAATTAACCCAAAGTAAGCTAATCTGTAAAACTCCTACACGGAAATAGATCGCGGCGGACAAAGTATATATCAAATATTAATACGTATTATTATTTTCTATACATAATAAATGTTTTGTATTTTATACAATATGTTCTTTTTTTCTATAATAATAGCTTCAAGAATTCTATTCTTTTCTTGTAGTATAGTACTTTAATCAATTAATCTATTAATATTTGTTTTATATTGAATGTTATATTCAATTGTACTCAGATTTTACAAGTAACAAGGCAAACAGCGAGAGATTGTGGTGTCTGTGTGGCCAATGTGAGAATTTAATGCTGTTTTCTTGATTATTGACATTGAACATACAATATCCCAAAAGACATGATAATTCATTAACAACAGTGCTTTCTTTTTAACATAAGAATATGTTCTTATGTTAAAAAGAAAGCACTGTTGTTGTGGTCTCAAGTTTCTGATAATAACTGAATTAGATTTTGTAAACTTGTTTACAGGAGACAAGGAGGAGTAATGGATAACGGCTCGGATTGTGGAATCGGAGAGCCGAGCTCGAATTCCAGTTAAATCCATTACATTCCCTTACATGCTTGGGAAAGACATGAATCCTCTTCTTCTCCCAGCTATGGGTAAATTGCAGGACAGACCGGGTTCTATATCTTGGATATGATCATTGGTCTGCCGCAGAAAGAAATGGCGACCTACTGCGGGAAAAATCTGCCTTGTCAATCATGTATCGAAAGATACATGATCGCCTAAGCGTGTATCACGCATGGCACATAACTTACTGAATCTTGTTTACCATAAATGATAAAGCTAAGATATTATTTGAGATCATTAAATGATATATAACGGTGAATTATATTTTTAACTAGCAGCATGGCCCGGCGTGGCTCGTGCTTGATTCAAAAATCGTACGACTCATACAGCAATTGCTATCACTTGACCTAAAATATTTTTGCCCTTCCTTGCCTTTAAAGGAGTGTCTTTTGCCGTGTTGATGTTGCTACATGTTTACTTCTTGCCTATCTCACACTGCGAATTTTTTCTAAGCTCTATACTAAACAAAATGAACACAAAACTATCAGCTTTAAAAAAGGACTCGTAACTGGAAAAACCGAATGAAAAAAAGAATGTTAACAACAAATACTTTTTCACACCCAACCCAGTTCTGCGGAATCAGAATCAACGTTGAGTTTAAGCAAGCGAATGAGCCAAGTGGAGTAAAGTGCCATGCAGATTTAAATTTTTCCCACTTGTGACGAATGCAACTATCGATTTTTTTTTTTTTTTTGCATGCTAGCATTCGTGTCATTCAGCTATAGGCTTTCACTCTGGCCAGTAGAAAATGGCCGCAAACTACATGAAAACTGCCGTAGAAGCATGAAAAAATCGATTATTTCCACTATCGATGGGAGTTGGTAAATGCAAAATCGTTCTTGGCCTTGCCGCTAACTTGGAGCATGTGCATGTAAATTTTGGTGCAAATCCGTAGAAAATTGCGGCTGTGCATTCGTTACACACACACGCCCGCGCGCACACACACACACACACACACACGCACATCCTGCCTTTTATAGATAGAGATATCTTTTCATCATGTTTATAGTGATGGTGCATCAGATTACGATAGAATAATACATACTGTTCTGTTACCACAGTACATAAAATTATATTGATTTGCTTCTCCTTGTCTCTTTTTTAGTTTAGGTACCTTTTAGATTGGTCACCGTTTTTCCCACTTCCGCTTACTTGTCACCGGTACTCTCACGCAAAAAAAGCATGATGTTATCATCTTCCTAACCTCACCCCCAATTTTAACCATCAACGTGTTGGTAACTTAAATCTTTTTCCCTCTACATTTGTCTATTTTATTTGACTTTTGTTTCAAGCAACCATATTTTACTACACGTTTGTATCGCTCTGTGTAGAATCTTCCAACATGTGTCCACTGTCCACAGAGAATGTTGCAAAATGTAAACTTCTTGTGTCTTCCTTTTCCTTAAATTCACTGCAACATTGAAATGTATTTCTGTAGCAAACTTTATACATATTCATCTAAACGAAGTATTCGCTACGTTGCTTTAGCCATTTTTAGACAAATGGTCTCTCTTTGTCATATTTCTAAGTTCGTTGTTTGTTCGTATTTTCAGTTTAACTGATATTATTCATATGTATTAATTTATTTTTCTAGTTTTATCCTGTTGGCTTTTAATAATCATGCCGATGTACAGGACTTCGACTTTAGAGTCATATTTACCTTAAGGCTTTTATCAAGCAAACTGTTTATTATTAAGATTATGCACACGTATGGCATAGACGCGTACTGTCGGGGGCAAAGCTAACATACATATATATATATATATATACACACACACACACACACATATATATATACATATATATATATATATATATATATATATATATATATAAATTTTATACCCGGAGTTATATTTTCCGATTTTTTTTGAATTTGTAAGTCTGATGAATTGGATCGTGATTGCGATTCCAATTTAATAAATTATAACCATGGAATATTAGTGTTTGAGTCTTTTATATTATATTCTTGCTCTGTCCTGGACATTGAGCTCTCCCTGGATTCTATCCTCTTGGAAATCTATATATATGTATATATATATATATATGTGTGTGTGTGTGTGTGTGTGTGTGTGTTAATAATTAATATTATATATATATATATTAATCACTAATATTATATATATATATATATATATGAATATATATATATATATATATGTATATATATATATATATATATATATATGTATATATGTATTTATATATATATATATATATATATATATATATATATATATGTATGTATGTATGTATGTACGTCTGATGGTTCTATCGGAATTTGGTAGAAAGCTTCTTTTTTTTAAAATCCAACTTAGTAAATATGGTAGCGCCTTCTAGTGACAGGGCAAAATCTTTGATATGGGGAATAGGTTATTTATCAGGCACAGTTCGGGCATTTAAAAGCCGATAATCCCCGCAAGGACGCCAAGTACCAGCATCACTTTTAGAAACCATGTGGAGTGGTGTAGCGTAAGGACTTGAGGATGGTCGAATTATGCCTAACTTAAGCATATTTTCACATTCGTCCTTAGCTATCCGTAATTTTGGCGGATGCAAACGACGAGGCGGTGTATTAACTGGGGGTCTAGTCGTCTTAATAGAATGGGTAGCGTTGTGTTTGATGGGCTCCGCATAATTAAAGGGTGACAAGAGTGACTTGTATTGACGGAGTAAGTTTTCGTATCCTTTTGCTTTTGCTATTAGTGCGATCAATCCAATTATTGAATGTTTAGATGATGTTCCACGGCGCTATAGGTTCGTGCACGTGTCGGTAAACGTGCGTGAAGAAAGCTCAACAGAAAGGTTGAAATGAGCCAAGAAGTCTTCCCAGAGGATTGACATCTCAACATCGGCTATCGTGAAGGGCCAGGTAAACTCCCTCCTTAGGCTGATGTTGAGGGACATAATACGTTCGCCGTATGTGCTGATTGGCGTGCCATTAGCGACTTGCAGTTTAAATAAAGCTTCCTTTGGTTTAGTCGTTGACTTATCAATAGCTGCGCAGTGGTATGACGCTGATCTGCGCGCCTGTGTCGACCAGGAATCTGAGGTTGCTATTGCGATCTTGGATGTAAACGAGGCGATTTTTATCATCAACCCTGCAGCCAACGCTCTTAATGGGTGCCAGGTTGGTCGTTTCCCTGTTGCTTAGCCGACGGTGTGCTATGGTACGAACATGGCAGTTGGCATTTTTTTTTTCTTTTTTTTTGGCGCGCGCGCCGAACACCACGTAGTACCAGCACACATTACGTGGATGGTGTCAGGGGCGCCGCGACGTAAAACGTCGGCGTTGAACGCAGTACCGATTCACAGAGTTGCTACGGCTTCTGCTTTGTGTATTTTGAGCTTCATTTAAGCACAGGGATAGTTTCTTCACCTCGCAGTCTAAAGCTTGTAACTGCTGATTGATATCTGGGGTTGGATCATTCAACGGCACGACAGAGGCGTTTCGATGTGCTGGGCAGGTATCTGAGATTTTGTCAGCTATCGCCGCTAACTTCTGAATATCCATATTGTCTGTCAACGCTGGTAAAATCTGTACTGTGTCTTTGTCCAGCCACATTTGTTTCAGAACGGCTTCGGACATTGAGTTCGCACCAAGCAGGGTCTGCATCCTGCGTAGAAGCTGGGAAGGTTTACTACTTCCGAGGGTGACGTTGGTCAGGAGTTCTCTAAACTTTCGTTCCTCTGAACAACCCGTCCGCTGCAGTATTGCCTGTTTTAGTACCTCATAGGGTTTGTCTGACGGAAGGTCATTGAGAATGTCTGCTACCTCCGATGCCACGTCGGCAGGTAGCTTCTCGACGACGGACGCAAATTTTAACTGTTCTGATGTAATGGGTATTGCTTGAAATATAGCATCTAATTGAATGAACCACGTCTGTAGATTGGTATTGTATGTCGGAAGGTCTACTTTGAGTGTAGCTTGGGTTGGTGGTGCGGAGTCGGCCATGTTAATACTGGTTCCTTTTGGAGGGAAGAAAATTGAAGTTGGCGCTTTTACAACGGTTAAACCGCTGCGGGTACTGGGATGAATAATGGATGTCGTCAACATTACCAAATTTGTTGTGAACGTTAATAATTTATAATGAAGAAATTGTAATGAACTTCTTTGAAACGGATTTGCCAATTTGTTATGGACGTCATGTCATTAATTTGTAGTGTACCGGTCTTTATCTAACGTCAGGGTCATCAATTTTGTCGCGGGATGTACACGGAGTGAAATATATCAGAAGGCAAAATTAAGTAAGATGAAAGTTATGCGTACTTATAGCGTCCGCATCCCACAAAATATTGGTTATACAAACAATTTAAGAACAAATTGCATGGCAAGAAACTACTAAATACCGTTGTTAAATATTTAACATTAAAGAAATTTTTATATCAACAATAAAATATACATGTAACGACAATTACAATGTTTGCTGCTGTGATAATTAAGACAATGTCATAAGGAATTTTTGTGCAGGAATGTTGTTAAGAAATGTTGGTTGTTAAAAAATTTAAAATGATTTGGTTTCTGCAAGGAAAAAGAGATCATATGTGTTCGTTCATTTATCAGTGTGTGGACGTGTGTAATTTACAAGTAAGAATAAATGTTATTAAGAGTTGCTTGCCTTTGTCTGTGTAGGCTAAGTTGGTGGAATATACAATTACTTTTTAGTAGTGAAATTGTTTCACTTTTCAAGTAAACTGTGGATGTTGGTTAACAAGCGGACAATGGTTGATGAATGTTTGTTGAGATTTCAATGTGGTGTGTGAGTCAGTGAATTGTCACGCGTGGAGTTTGGTAGCATCTCGTTAAACTCCGGTGGCTGACTGTCTGAATTGAGTCGGCTGCGGTTAATTTATAGATTTTTTGTGTAGCGAAATCGGCTCAAAAGAGCTTGGCGGGAAATAGGATTCGTTTGGAATTTTGTTACACTTTGGTGTTTATTAACCAATAAAAAGATTGGATTTGCAAAAACGAATTGATGATTGATTAAAGGCTTTTCAGAGAAGAATACATTTTTTTCTGAAGGGGGCTAATGTGGAATCTTCGCAAACTGATTGAGACTAACGTCTATGTTTTCCAAATCGGCTGATTAATCCCAAACTACCGCAGGATTGTTTTACTTGCTAAAAGAAACAATTATTACTTAAACTTATTTTAGCATACAAAAGTTAAATCAACATTTATTAAAGTAGAAAAACATGCATAAAGTTATTAATAGACTAAACTCAGTGTCCGTATCGCTAAATAAGACTTTGAATTAAGCTGTTTCTCGTTCGGTTGTTTATGAATATACGTATTTACGCAAAGATTACAGCGTTACTAACGATACTTTTACCATTATCTTTTAACTCTTTAACTTATTTAACTAGAAGATGGGATAAAGAGATTAGCCTATTGTAATTTGGTCTCTCAAAAAAGGTACTCACATGATACTACGAGATACATGAAGAAATCATTTTTTATAAGTGAACATTTGAGGAAAACACATTCCAAATTTATATATATATATATATATATATATATATATATATATATATATATATATATATATATATATAAGTAATAGAAATTATTCAGAGGATTTGAAATAATCATAATTAAGTAATTCATCGAGTCTAGAAGAAACCTCAACAGAATGCAGAAAGCACTGGACGGCCGTTTCGTCCTATATTTGGGACTCATCAGCAGTGCGCATCCACTACCGAGAATTAAAACCCGGATAGATACGATATGAGGCAAACGTCATACCAACTGTACCAACGGGCCTCGGTAACGAAGAGGTAACGAATTAGAGTCAATATAGCGCCGCTCGATCACATATTCCTAGTTTCCCTTACCCATATATCGTTGCTTGAACTGGCTTCTAATGCTCTGGATAGAGTGGCTTGGGGATAGTAGTCGTGGCTCATGGGGGCAACTGAAATTGGAACTCGGCTCTTCGATTAACAATTCCGAGCTATTATCGGTTGCACCACCCGCACATCCAAGCTTACCTATTTCCAAGCGGTCACCTATCTAGGTACTGATCACGCTCGACGTTGCTTAACTCGTACGGTGTTTCAATGTGATCTGGCCGTAAGCCAGATTCCGTTTGAAAATAGTTTCCACGTAAACTAAATACCTTATCCGTCATTAAGCTATGGATTTATTGATATAACTTATGAGATTTAATTGTTAACTCTAACCTTTCAGCGGACATCTTTGTCTGGGAAATTGTTTCTGCGTTAGCGTGAAGATGGCAAGTAATTATACGATGTATTATTAAAAATCTCTCATCGCTAAGAAAAGCGACTTTCTTGGGCAAGAGGAAGCATTAAGTAGATGTTTTCTAATCTTTAGCCAAGAGCACAGGGTGTCCAATCAGGACCCAACTCCCACTAGATCAGTAGAGAGCAGTGAAACCAGCCTGTCAACTACTGCTTACCGGTGAGTTTATTGTGGCACAAGATCTTGAGAGCTGGCCACTTGGTGAGCAGCGAACTCAGTTCACGCTATTCAGTTAAGTATAGCTCTTCAGAGAAGTGATGAGAAGGAAAGAAAAAAGGCATGAAAATGAGGCGATAGAAGAAAGCTATAAGTAAAGAGAAAATGTAAGAGGAATAAAGAAAGGAAGAGAAGGGGAGAATGGTAATACAAAGAGAAGGAAAGAAAGCAAAGACAAAAAATAAAAAGAATTGTGGAACAGAAAAGAAAGAAAGAAAGAAAGAAAGAAAGAAAGAAAGAAAAAAATGTAACTGAAGGGAAATAAATAAAGAAAGACAAAACGAAAGAAAATGAAAGAAAGAAAAATGAATGAAACTGAGACGTAAAAGAAAACAACGAAGTGATTTTCTCTTCGTTGTTTTCTTTTACGGGGAAAGAAAGAAAGGAACAGAGAAAGATAATATAAAGCGAAGGAACAAAAGCAAAAAGAAAAAGAATAAAGAAATGAATGAATAGAATAAAGAAAGAAAGTAAGAATAAATAAATGAATGAAGAGACAGAAAAGAAAGAAAGAAAGAAACAAACAAACAAAGATAGATGAAGAGAAAAAAGACGTCACTGACGGGAAAGAAAGAAAGAAAGAAAGAAAGAAAGAAAGAAAGAAAGAAAGAAAGAAAGAAAGAAAGAAAGAATAATTAAACTGAAAAGAAAATAAAGAATTGTGGAACAGAAAAGAAAGAAAGAAAGAAAGAAAGAAAGAAAGAAAGAAAGACCGCTCTTATGATAAAAGAAAATACCCAGATGTAAGAAAATAAAAAAAGTGTTTAGGTTTTAAGTTGAAAGAAAGAATAAATGAATGATGGAACTGAAACGAAAGAAAGAAAGAAAGAAAGAAAGAAAGAAAGAAAGAAAGAAAGAAAGAAAGAAAGAAAGAATGGAACTTGGACGAAAAAAGAAAGCAATGATGAGAAAATATACGAGGAAAAAAGAAAGGAACAGAGAAAGATAATGTAAAGAGAAGGAACAAAAACAAAAACAGAAAGAAAGAAAGAAAGAAATAAAGAAAGAAAGAAAGAAAGAAAGAAAGAAAGACCGCTCTTATGATAAAAGAAAATACCCGGATGTAAGAATAAAAAATGAGTTTAAATTTTAAGTTGAAAGAGAATAAATGAATGATGAAAATGAAAAGAAATAAAAAAAAAAGAAAGAGAGAAAGAAAAACACGAACAAAGAAAGAAAGAAATAATAAATGAATCATGGGACTGAAAAGAAAGAAAAAAAGAGAAAGAAAGAGAAAGAAAGGTGTAACGAACAAAGAAAACAACCAAGAGATAATATAACAGGAAGAAAGAAAGGAACAGAGAAAGATAATATAAAGATAAGGAACAAAAGCAAAAACAAAAAGAAAGAAATGGGACAAAAGAAAGAAAGAAAGAAAGAAAGAAAGAAAGAAAGAAAGAAAGAAAGAAAGAAAGAAACAATAAATAAAAAAAGAAAAGAAAGGAACAGAAAATAAATGAAAAAAAGATGGGAAAAGAAAATAAAGAAAAAAAAGATGGAAAAGAAAGAAGGAAAGAAGATGAAACTGAAAAGAAAGAAAGAAAGAAAGAAAGAAAGAAAGAAAGACCGCTCTTATGATAAAAGAAAACACCCGGATGTAAGAAAATAAAAAGGAAGGAGAACAGAAATGGAAGGTTGACAGGATAAGTTGATGATAGACACGCTGTAAGCCTTTCCACGAATGAGCATGCGCGCGTGTCTATATGCCTCCCAAAAGCATACGCATACGTTTTCTATTGGTCGCCAATCGATTGATCCAATCAAAATCACCACCTTTCCTCTTTTAGCACCGGCGACTGACCACCGTAGATTATCGATTCTTGCCGCTTCAGTAATTTCTAGTCGTACACTTGGAGAAGAGGAAGCGACGAAGCTGGACAGCTTGTTGGCCGAGTGGCCGGAAAGAGCGAGCGAATGGGAAAGAGAAAGAGAGATTTCAAAATGAACGCAATATAAAAAAAAAATATACCTAAACGAGAAGAAACGTGATTCGACGAGAAGTGCTTGTCACCAATCGTATACATACAGCAAATAGATTCAGTAAGTGTTCGGGTCTACCTAACCGCAAACCGGTGATTACATTAGTGTGGCGTTATCTTGGAACTGAATTCAATAATTAAAAAACGGACGAAGAGAAAGAGATAAAGAAAAAAAAAAGCAGAAATTAGAAAAAAAAAGTTGAAAGTTCGATTATAATTACTCATAACAAGAAAATATGCTCGCCGATAAAATTTCGGCGAAGGATTAACGCATTCATGAAAAAATAAGATAATATTGAAAAAGAAAGACAGTAAATTAAGTTTCAAAGTTATTTTTGAAGTTCGTTTTAATACAAAGATTATTTTGAAAGGCATTTAAAAAGTAATTATTTCTTTATTGAAAAAAAATAAGAGAACTTCATTAATAACAAATATTATCACTCAATTTCTTTTTTTCAAAATTTTTTCAAATGTTGATCCAACTTTTTTCATTATTAATTATTCCTGAACAGCTTGGTTGAATAGTTCTTATGTCGAGCAAATCATATTTGAAGTAAACATAAAATTTAAATTAAACAACTCAAAATCATGGGAAAGTTTCATTTTCTTGGAATCATTTCTATAATCCTACTTGCTTTCTTAATTGGGTCAGTTAAACCTATAACTACGATGACTGATACAACGACAACAGAAACTTCAACGCCGGCTACATTTACGGCAACAATAGAAACATCAACTACAACGCCGTCATCAACTGAGTCAACAGCGGCAAACACTTTGCCGGCGTCGTCTACAAATGGGGGAGCGGAGACAACTACAATGGCGACACTATCAACCTCAACGCCGTCGACAACTGAGTCAACAGCGGCGAACACATTTCCTGCGTCGTCTACAAATGGGGGAGCGGAGACAACTACAATGGCGACACAGCCAACATCTATGCCGCCTATAACTACGACCACAGAGCCGAAGTCAACAACAGCTGGGGAAGCGGTTACAACATCAATCTCAACGAGGACAACATCAATCTCAACGGGAACAACATCAATCTCAACGTCAACTACAACTAGTACAACAACTGCTATAGCAACTTTGCCGACATCGACAACATCAACCTCAACAGCATCAACAGCAACATCATCGCCTGCTACAACTAAGGCGGCAACAGCAACTACATTACCTACCTTGACAACAGCTGGGGGAGCTGTGACGACTATAATCAGTACAACAGAGGCAACATCTTCAACAACATTACCGACCTCAGCAACAGCTGGTGGAGCGGTAACTACTACACCAGTCTCAACTCCAACGGCCATTACGACAAGAGCGACACCGTCAACAACATTGCTGACGTCGACAACAGCTGGGGGTGCGATCTCAAGTACAACGGCGACAACCTCAACCCCAACATCCACTACGACAAGTGCAACACCGTCAACAACATTGCTGACGTCGACAACAGCTGGGGGAGCGGTGACAACTACAACGGCGACAACCACAACCCCAACATCCACTACGACAAGAGCGTCACCGTCAACAACATTGCTGACATCGACAACAGCTGGGGGAGCGGTGACGACTACAACGGCGACAACTTCAACCCCAACATCCACTACGACAAGAGCAACACCGTCAACAACATTGCTTACGTCGACAACAGCTGGGGGAGCGGTGACAACTACAACAGCGACAACCACAACCCCAACATCCACTACGACAAGAGCGTCACCATCAACAACATTGCTGACATCGACAACAGCTGGGGGAGCGGTGACGACTACAACGGCGACAACCACAACTCCAACATCCACTACGACAAGAGCAACACCGTCAATAACATTGTTGACGTCGACAGCAGCTGGGGGTGCGGTGTCAACTACAACAGCGACAACCACAACCCCAACATCCACTTCGACAAGAGCGTCACCGTCAACAACATTGCTGACATCGACAACAGCTGGGGGAGCGGTGACGACTACAACGGCGACAACTTCAACCCCAACATCCACTACGACAAGAGCAACACCGTCAACAACATTGCTTACGTCGACAACAGCTGGGGGAGCGGTGTCAACTACAACGGCGACAACCTCAACCTCAACATCCTCTACGACAAGAGCAACACCGTCAACAACATTGCTGACGTCGACAACAGCTGGGGGAGCGGTGACAACTACAACGGCGACAACCACATCTCCAACATCCACTACGACAAGAGCAACACCGTCAACAACATTGCTCACGTCGACAGCAGCTGGGGGAGCGGTGACAAGTACAACGGCGACAACCTCAACCCCAATGGCCACTACGACAAAGGTGACATCGTCAACAACATTGCCGACCTCGACAGCAGCTGCAGGAGCGCTGACTACTAAAATGACGACATCAATCCCAACGCCAAGTACAACTAGGACGGCAATTGTAACAGCAACGACTCTGTCGACGTCAACGACTATTGGGGGAGCAGTGGCGTCTACAAAGGCGACAAATTCAACCAAAACGCCGACTACAGCTGAGGCAAAAAGTGCAGACACATCGTCGACTACAGCTAGGTTGACAATAACAACTGCCCTACCAACGACAAAAAAATTCGCAGGAGCGATGACAACTCCACTGACGATGGTGCCGTCTTCAAATACATGGAAGTTTCCAGAATCTACGTCGATTTCGAATGTCACTATGGCGGCGATGGTTTCGGGGACGTCGTATTACGTCTCATCGTGGGAAAAGCGTAATACATCAACAACTAATTTACCTCCTCTTTCAAGTGAGAAAACAATAACATTTGGAACGGAAAGTCAAAAGACTTTCGTAACTGCCATCACAACAGGTAAATTCTCAGAATTTTCTTTTCTTTATACTATTATTCTTATCGCTTCTATCATACAGATTTTTCGATAAATTCTTTGATTTTTCTCGCTGTTAGACGACGCCTTCTGTAAGATATAACATGATCGAAATAATCAAAATACTTTTATAGGGTGTCCACTGAAAGACTGGATGATATAAACCAAAAACAACTTATAAAAAAGTTGTCTTTTTTTAAATTTTGTGACCATTTGAATCTTGTATGGAAATCCAGTTTCAGAATCTTCTGAAGCGATGTTCTGGCGATGTATAGTTGAACAGAGCCACGACGGGTAGAAGCTGACACCGTTGCGTCAGTGCGCGTACTATGCTTAGGACCTCTTCCCGGATGATCGTCGACAGATCCAGTTTTTTCAAACCCGGCGATTAGGTCGCGAATCATGTTAATGCTCGGAGATACTCTGACATTAAAATGTTACCGGTATTTTTTCTCCGAGTGTGAATAATTGATCTTTCATCGCAATAAAAAACATCAATTAGTTTTACTTGTTGCTGGACATCATACGTAGCCATTTTAATCTCCAAGAAATGCACTATAATCTGCAAAAAAAAATGTGTTCTTAATTTTGTTTCTTTCAGGGCATAAATTATACAAAAATATGTCCAAATGTTTTATATATCCAAGCGCTTTCGGTTTTACTGTTATCCTGACCAATCTAAATTCGTAAATACTTATATTGAATGTTCTACAACATGCTTAACAAGAAGACTCACGTTACATCTCTCTGACCAGGTCTGATTTAAATACACATGGAGACCTACCAACACTGTCCACAACATACTCGTTTATAGTACAAATATAATAACCATATGTAAAAAATGTCTAAAAATAATGGAAGCACAAATAATAAAAAAGAAAAAGCCAATTTTCGATTATATCAATTAAGAACTCGGCCACAATATGCTGACCGTGTTTGGAAAATAATACATTCCTATAACTCTAGATACATACATAAAACAGTCTATACATTTAGTTAAAAACAAAAATAAAATTCATTCTTCATAATGGCTAAAAGTATAGCCGAAAGCATTTGAAAATGTTTTGTATAATTTATGACCTGAAAAGAGAAAATTTATAACAACACATGAAAAATTACATAAAAAGCTTAACCACGGTAGCTTATCACTCGTTTCTAATGAAAAAATTATATATATATATATATATATATATATATATATATATATATGTTCAAGTGGATGACTATTCATATATATATGTGTGTGTGTGTGTGTGTGTGTGTGTGTGTATATATATATATATATATATATATATATATATATATATATATATATATGAATACTCATCAGAGACAGACTGTTTCGATGTATCACAGCTCATCAGTGTGATTAGACATCCGATCGCTTCAAGCCGGGACCGAAGCACGACTGATTGCCAATAGATTCTACCCCTAGGCGATCAGCGCCCGGCAGAGAGAAAGGCGAATTTTTTCGCGTATTTATATAACTATGAGTATAGCAACAAAGTCTTTAAATGCTTATGAAAAAAAATTATTATATATGTACAAAAAAAAAAAAAAGATTACTCCCCTTACACTGGAAGCAAAAAACAAAAAAACAAAATCACGTGAACTTTGAACTTTGAAATCCCGAACGCTGCATAAGCAGTCAAAAACGAACAGTTGAAATGTTTTAAATTCAAAAACAAACACACACACACACACACACACACACACACACACACACACACACACACATATATATATATATATATATATATATATATATATATATATATATATATATATATATATTCACAGACATGTTAACCAAAAGGATGATCTCAGTTGAGACTGAAAGTACTTGGGAAAATAAAAAACTATTTGAAAGAAAAATTTTGGTATTTTTCTTACTCAATTTTCTAAATCTACCAAAGAATTAATCCACGAACTTGAAAGGATCACAATGAAAACTAAATGACATGATGTGTCTAAATTATTAAACCAAACCTCTTTCAATGAAAATAAAAAAATATACACTATATATATATATATATATATATATATATATATATATATATATATATATATATATATATATATATGGTGGACTCTCGTCGTATTCAGTCAAGCCGCTATCCATTACTCCACCGTGCCTCCTAGAGCATCGTTCTGTGAAAAATCTCCTTCATATAATCTTTTATTTACCTTTCTAAAGATTAAAATAATAAAAATAAAAGCGATAAAACCTGAATAATATAAATATAAATATATATATATATATATATATATATATATATATATATATATATATATATATATATAAATTTAAAACATTTAAATTCCTTATATTTATATAATCATTTAATATATATATATATATAATTTAAATTCCTAATATTTAATTTAATCAATTCACCTCAAGTATTACAATAATGTCACTAAAACGCATGAGGCGACTTGGAATGAAAGTGAATGAGAAGACTTTAGAAAGAACCGAATCGTAAATAGGAAACAAAGAATAAACCTCTCCTCCTGTTCAATAGACTGGAGAGGATTATGAACCGGCAATAACCGAACCTTTCTACTTCTATTAATGAAAAACAAAGAAAAAATAAATTACTTTATACGGTGACATTAGAAGCATAGCGGAAGTAGACTTTAAAAGGAACCGGAAATCCAGTCCTAAACAAGAAACAAGTATATAAACTTCTATTTCTGATAAATAAAAAAAACATAACAGGAGTTGAATCACAGTGTTAATCGGACGATAATCTAATCTAATATATATATATATATATATATATATATATATATATGTATGTATGTATATATATGTATATGTATATAATTTATTCGAAAATTATACACTTTCACTTGATAAGAAGTGTAGAAACGAAATGGCTGTTTTTGTAGTGATTTTATAACATATTTTGATATAATTTTCGAATAAATTATTTTGCTCTACTCTATATTGAGCACTCTTTTTAAGAAAAGTAATTTTGGTTATTGGAATTTATTCCATACACCAATCCTATTTTGTATATATATATATATATATATATATATATATATATATATATATATAGGCGTTCCATAAACGTGAAGTTTTTTTCGCGCGACGGACGCTACTTGTAAACAAACAGTAATTTTAATTTATTTGTAACAGTTATTTCTGAAGAAAGATTGAGGTCAATCTGAAATATCAAATATATATATGAATAAATAAATACTTTCATAAAAAAAACATTATTATTTTTTAATTTGCAACTTTTTCTATATATACATTTTAAGAAAGTATACGTGGCTTCTCATTATGCTATATATATATATATATATATATATATATATATATATATATATATATATATATATATTTGAAAATATTTTTGTACAAAATCTAATTACAAAAATCAAAAGTGTGTGTAGCTTAATATTACAAGACATGTTAAAAACAAATAACTGGTCTCGTTCCCGCTCTTCAGGCCTCTACGGGAGATTTAACTTAAAACAACAGAAAAATGTGTAATGAGAAGGTGAAGGGGGAAAAAAATTGAACACAAGAAGTTAGAGACAAATAACAGCGAGCCCCAACAAACATTCACGCTGTTTACACTGGGAAATCTTGCAGGACCCGAGATAAAGTGCTTACATATGGCGGAACCATAGGTATTTGGGACACGTCCATTCAAAGATAAAGTGTGATTCCTGATCTTTCTGGAAATATGCTGTTTAATTCAAATGTCTAGGCGTTGAGTAGTTCTCCCTATTTAGTCAACAACGCAACTACAATTATAATAAATAAATAAATTGTAAATAATAGAATTAATTTGATGGGGACGGAGAGCATGCTTGCACCGAGAACTAAACATAGGCCGGGTTTAAACAGCATATTCCCACCAATGAATGTTTGTTGGGGTTCGCTGTTATTTGTCTCTAGCTCTTTGTGTTCATTTTCCCCCTTCACCTTCTCATTACACAATTTTCTGTTGTTTTAAGTTAAGTTAAATCTCCCGTAGAGGCCTGAAGAGCTGGAGCGAGACCGGTTACTTCGTTTTAACATTTCTTGTAATATTAAGCTACACACTTTCATTTCTGTAATATATATATATATATATATATATATATATATATATATATATATATATAAATAAATAGAGAGAGAGAGAGAAAGCATTTCGGGCTTTCTGCATTCTGTTAAAGGTTTCTTCTAGACTCGATGAATTACTTAATTATAATTATCTCAAATCCTCCTAATATATATCTTACTTATTATAAAACGCAGATTGTGTGTGTGTGTGTGTGTGTGTGTCTGTACGTTTATATATTGGATCGGATTTCCTACATTTTTCAACCGATTTCAACAAAACTTCACAGGACTGCGTAAAATTACCTTGTGGTGGTTCTGACAGCGCCAAAAATTGGAAAAACAATTGTTTTTGCGCGAAATCAATTTGAAAACACAATAAAACACAATTCTGTTACCAGAATGAAAGGGGGACAACTCATATCGAGTTATACTTATTATAAAACCCAGGTTGTTTGTGTGTGTGTGTTTGTTTATATATAGGATCGGATTTCCTACATTTTTCAACCGATTTCAACAAAACTTCACTTTTTTTGGCAGGTAATGTTTCTTATTGTCTCGCACACTTTTTTCTTTATTTTTTCATCCAGAATGCTTTAAAAATTTCATTTACAAGACAATTGTTTATAATAAAATTCTGTTCAATCGGTAGACTCATAACGATTGAAAACAATGTTTTTGTTTGAGTTTGGGTTTGACCAATTCGTAAAAAAAAGCAAAAAACTAATTAACACATGCGTGTCCGTCAACCTTAAACAATAATCTTTGTCAATTTTATTTTTCAGTCTTTATGATGGTCGATACTTGATCTATTTCTTACTGTTACATCCCCGGGCAACGCCGGGTTCTCCTGCTAGTATATACATATATATATATATATATATATATATATATATATATATATATTACACAACAAAATTCCAAATTACCTCATTTGGGGATAGATCTATTTCAGCCAACGCGAAGTACGTTGGTTTTATTAACTACGGTGAATTGACTGTATACGCCTCGGAATTACATACTTACAATATAACTTTGACAGAAGTCGAAGTATTGGTACACATTGGTACACATAGAACACATTTGGACGCCTCAGCCAGACGGAATTCCCCGGTTGGTGGTAAGGGGAAATCAAAATAAGCACCCCATTCTTCATATCACCCCATTTGGAGGCATAGATGCCTTGCACCCTCCCCTTACCACCAACTCAGGTATTTCGTCTGGCTGAGGCGTCCAAATCGGTAGGTTCTGTCGTAATTTTTCAAATACGGTCAAATTTTATATATATATATGTATATATATATATATATATATAGAAAACGTTGAATTTCTCCAGACAATAATGGTTTCATTGATAGAAGTGGGTGGATTACTACAAAAATGTCGCTTGCACTTTTATCGAAACTCCAAGTATACGTGTACTCTCAATCAATTTCCACGTCTGTCATTTATATTTAAATAGAAAATCTTATTCAGGTTTTATCTCTTTTATTTCTATTGTTTTAACATCTAGATATGTAAATAAAAGGTTTTTTGAAGCGAGACATTTTACAAAACTATGCATTCAATGCATTCGTCATTTTCTGTAATAAATCTAGCTATAATTTCGACTTCATGCGTCCAGCCTAAAAAAGAAAGAATTTTATCAAATTTTTTTAAAAATTATTTCACCCTAAGCAAGGCGATAATGCCACTAAGACGCAAGGGTTTACAGGTAGTGGAAGAAAATGAGAAGAATTTAGTGAAGATAAAGGACAATAAAAGTACATGTTTCAGAAAAAGAGAAGATAAAAATTTATGTCACATTTAATTTTTTGAAGCTTGTAGATGACAGGGAAACAATAAACCGGGATAGAGTTCCAAAGGTTGCAAATGCAAGAAAAAGATAATATTAGAATAGAACTGTCTATATTTCTGAGATGAGGTACTATGTACATTATTTACATTATTCGGACTATTGTCCTCATCTTTGAAAGATATTTATCACAACGTGAAGGCCGTTGTACAAAGGAACACCATTGGAAAATTCGTAAACTTAAAGGGAATCAGCACATATGCTGGGCCACAAAAATCTCCTGAGCCGACCAAGCATAGAAATAAATACAATATGGAAGCCAGTAATAAGGAGTGAAAGAGAAAAGCAACGATAACAACAAAATGCAATATGAGCTCTGGTAAAAAACATATTTTGATAACAGCAAAAATTGCAATATGAGCACTGGTAAAAAATGTTTGCTGAAAAACAATATGAAGGTTTTATAATACCCAGAAATTCATATATAAAAGATGTCCTCAAAAACCATTGGCACAGTGGATAAAGTCGTTGGTTAGATCCAGTGACAGAACCAAAAGAGTGTGAGTTCAATTCCTGGTTAAGACAGTGGAGAACTTGCAGAAAAAGGCAGAAAAAAATGCGGGAAAGGAGATAACTGATATCCATCCATCAAAAACAGTCTACCCCAGTGACCGAAATAAAGGGTTCAGTTCGACATTCCAACCACCTGAAGAAGGCAACAAAGATGAGGACAATAGTAAATAATGTAGAATAGAAGGAACTGCATAGGCTACATATAGCTATTTCAACAGTAAAACGATTCGATTTAGCACCCAATCTAATAGTACGCTTAAATTCACACGATCGCGGTACCATCAGAACAACTGGCTGGCATGGAAATATAAATAAGACAAAGGAAAGCCACGTCATCATATCTGAAGTCGAGGTGCCAGGTCAGGACCGATAAAATTACAGAACTTTCTTTAGATTCTGTCGAGGATCTTGCGGTACGTAGCCGTAGCAACAAACCAGATATAACAGTAATATTCCATGTACAGACGAATGGTAGATTTATAAATGTGCCAGATGTATTCTGACGAGAAAATTTGGCTGGCAAAACGTAGTGAACCAGTTTTCTTAGCTGCAATTGGTTCAATATAATAATGTCAGTGAAAAAAAATACAATGTCAAGAAAAGCTAAAATATGGGGAAAGAGGACGTGTTGCTCTGCTGGAGGTTAGCATCAGCCATGGTGATAGATGGCAAAAATGGTTCTCTTTTATGATTAAAGAAAAGCAATTTCGTCTTTGAGGCGTTAAAATTTACAAGCCATTTCTGTGGGAAAGGAAATAGTTAAAAAAAAAAAAACTTTTGGTGATTTTACACACACATATATATAAACAAAGTGGAGAAAATGACTAAAAAATCGGATTGAGGAAACGGAAAGATCGAGTTCGAATTCCTTTGACAATGGGGAAATCCATTCTAAAATGGAAAGAGGAGAAAAGAACAATGTGTGCATTTATCTTTAATCAAGGAAAAATATATAAAAAAAGAGAAAGAATGAAGAAAAAGGGAAAATTAATCAATAGAGTTCTGTGAAAAGGAGAAAGAACCCAGCTATGGATAAAAGCAGGACAGAGAAACCGTTGATTTTTATTTAAACTTGGATGGCAAATTTTCTATCGCAGGAAAGCTAAAATGGCATGTTAATGGGAAAAAAAATGCCCCGTCAGTCTTGTAAAATATCAAAAGATACAATGAAGAAAAGCGGTTATTGATTGGTGGGAAGAAAAGGACAAAAAGCAAGGAAAAGCGTGTATTATGGCACATAACTAACGGATCAGGAAAATGAGAAAGGCAGCGAAAATTTTCAACAAGTGACTGGGTGGGGAAAGAATTCATAAAATTCTGAACAAAAGACAAAATATTAGAGATCGGAAATAAATAAATAAACGCAAAAGATGCCAGAACAATGAAAATTGGGAGAATTTTAACGTGGGAAAATCTGCCAAAAGGAAAGAACAGTGTGAATAAAAAAAGGACAAAAGTCAAGGAAAGACTGAAAGAGGAGAAAACAATGTACAATAAAGTGGGGAAAAGGAAATATCAAAATATGTGAAAGAGGAGAAAGAACAATGTGAAGAAAAGCAGGAAAATGTGACTGCGGGGAAAGGACATTAGAGTCAAGGAAAGCTAATATAAAGAAAAAGAATGTGAAGAAAGAACAATGGAAAAGATCTCAATGTGAAGAAAAGGAAAATGTGACTGCGGGGAAAGGACAAGGACAATAGCTAAAAATATAAAGTAGGAAAAGATCTAAAAGGATGTGAAAATGTGACTGAGGGGAAAAGAAAAATGTGAAGAATCGGACATGAACAATGTGAAGAAAAAATGACTGCGGGGAAAAGGTCAATAGAGTCAATGTAGAAGAAAAGCTAAAATATTTGAAAGGACAATATTGAAAAAGAACAAATGAAGAAGAAATGGAAGAAATAAAAACGTGAAAGGAAAGGGGAAATTTTCAATAAGTCAAGGATTTCTAAAATATGTGAAAGAGGAGAAAGAACAATGTGAAGAAAAGCGGGTAAACGTGACTGCGTGGAAAGGACAATAGAGTCAAGGAAAGCTAAAATATGTGAAAGACAAGAAACAACAATGTGAAAAAAAAAGGGAATATATGCGACTGCAGGGGAAAGGATATAGAGTCAAGGAAATCTAAAATATGTGAAAGAGGAGAAAGAACAATGTGAAGAAAAGCGGGAAAACTGCGGGCTGACAATGGGGAAGGACAATAGAAAAGAACAAGGTTTAAAAAATATGTGACAAAAAAGAAAAAAAAATGTGAAGAAAAGCAGGAAAACGTGACTGCGGGGAAAGGACAATAGAGTCAAGGAAAGCTAAAATATGTGAAAGAGGAGAAAGAACAATGTGAAGAAAAGCGGGAAAACGTGACTGCGGGGAAAGGACAATAGAGTCAAGGAAAGCTAAAATATGTGAAAGAACAATGTGAAGAAAAGCGGGTAAACGTGACTGCGGGGAAAGGACAATAGTAGAAGGAAAATAGTTTGAATTCGTTTGGTAGTGTAGAAAGGACAATGGTGGGAGGCAAAACTAGCAAGAAACGGAAGGACATTAGTGTGAAGGAAAGCGGAAAAAATGTCTGCGGGCAAAGGACACCTGATTAAAGACAATCGGGAAAATTCACTGCGAAGGAAGGACAATGGATTTAAGAACATCTAGAAAATGTGTAAATATAGAAAGAACTGTATAGTTATTGAAATAAGGAAAATATGATTGTACACTGAATACAATGGATTGAAAGAAAGCGAGAATATGTTATTGGGGAGAGACGATAATAGAGGAAAAGAATGCCGGAAAATGGGAATAAGGTTAAAAGGACAATAGAATAAAGGATAACGACATAATAACTGCGGATATAGGAATATCGTGTGAAAGAAAGCGATGAAATGGGTCCGATTCGCAAGGACTATGGAATAAAAGAATTCAATAAAAAATACGACTGATGAGAAAGGACAACAGAGTGAATGAAAGCGAGGCAATGTAACTGCGGGTAGAAAAATATAGTCTGCAGGAAAGCGATGGAATTTAACTGAGGAGAAAGGATAATAGATTGAATTAAAGCGAGGAAATATGTCTGCGGAGAAAGTACAAGAGAGTGAACGAACACGGGAAAATATGACTGAGGGGTAAGAACGATAGAATGAATGAAAGCGATTAAATTTTCCTATGGTGAAAGGACATTTGATTCACGAAAATCTAGAAAATAAGACTGCGGATAAAGAACAATAGAGTGAATTCAAGCGAGAAAATATTCTTAAGGATAAAGGAGATTAGATTGAATGAAATCACGAAAATTTGACTGCGGGAAACGACAAGAGAGTTAACGAAAGCGAAAAAATGTGCCCACGATGAATGGTGAATAGTGTGAAGGAAAGCAAGGAAATGTGACTGCCGGACAAAGTAAAAGAAGTTTAGTTTGGTTTGGTTGGTTTTGTTTTAAAGCATATCAACCTGAATGCGTTATTTAATGCCAACAAGATTTTTATTGCTGGTAATCATTTTATTAGAAAGTAATTCTGGTATTAAATCCTATTTTTACACTTTCATAGTATTTTGACACAAGTTTGGGTGTTAACTATTTACCCATATCTAGGACCCCTAACAGGTGCTACACCCCGGGTCAGAGTGGACCTGGGAACACCAGCAATTAAGAGGTGGTTCCACGCTCCTCAAGATAACCTGATCAGAAGCCTTGCTGTTGGAAGTAGTTTAGCATCTTACCCAGGACGCGGATGTAGTTTATCGTCATACCCAGAACGCGGACGTAGTTTATCGCCTTATTCAAGACGCGGATGTAGTTTATCGTCATACCCAGGACGCGGATGTAGTTTATCGTCTTACCCAGGACGCGGACATAGTTTATCGTCTTAGTAAGGACGTGGATGTAGTTTATCGTCTTACCCAGGACGCGGACGTAGTTTATCGTCTTAGTAAGGACGCGGATGTGGTTTATCGTCTTACCCAGGACGTGGACGTAGTTTATCGTCTTAGTAAGGACGCGGATGTAGTTTATCGTCTTACCCAGGACGCGGACATATTTTATCGTCTTAGTCAGGACGCGGATGTAGTTTATCGTCTTACCCAGGACGCGGACATATTTTATCGTCTTAGTCAGGACGCGGATGTAGTTTATCGTCTTACCCAGGACGCGGACATATTTTATCGTCTTAGTCAGGACGCGGATGTAGTTTATCGTCTTATCCAGGACGCGGACATATTTTATCGTCTTAGTCAGGACGCGGATGTAGTTTATCGTCTTACCCAGGATGGCGAAAGTACAATGGAGTGAAAAAAAAGTTACTGAAGAAAAAGAAAAGCAGAATGATGGAAACGGAGCAAATGTGAATGAGGACAAAGGAACATATAGTGAAGGAATCTGAGAAAATGTTACTGAGGAGAAAGGACAATAAAAAGAAGAGGATTCAAAGAGACAGATGATGACAATTGACGTTGTTTTTAAATTTTTGTAGATTTTAGTTGTCAAGGAAGCAAGTGTCTGGAAGTGATTCCCACTGAATGGGACTGCGAGAAGTGAAACTATTTGAATAAAACTAACGGTTACATCTAGAAATTACGACAGTAAATTGACGAAACCGTGTTGCCATTCTAGTACTAAACTGAAGTCGATGTACCAAATTGGGAAGCTCATCAGAACAATAATTAATATTACTAATAACTCGCCTCTGTTATCATTTTCACTCTATGTATACATTTAACCTGACCGTGCGTCTCGCAAAGGACCTCAAATCGGTTGTGAACTGGGGCAGGAATTGGCTGGTCAACTTTAATGCTTCAAAAACAAAACTGCTCTCTATTAATCACCACAGAGATCCTTCCCTGCCCTCCATTAGAATGTCTGACGCTCAACTTCGCGAGAGCACCTCTCTGCGGCTGCTCGGTCTCACGTTGACTGCTGACCTGAGATGGAACAAATACATTGAGTCAATTGCTTCGTCCACCGCAAGGAAAGTTGGCTCCCTGCCGCTGCCGCCAGGAAAATCAACAATTCGCCCCATTTTTTTTTTGATTTTGCCTTTTCTTGATAAGCTCCAGGCGGATATGCAATTTCTCGTAACAAACAACGCGCCGTCGCCTCTCTCTTTCAAATACTTTCATGGCAAATTGCTCCAAGGAGCTGCATTCGCTGGTTCCCAGACTTCATGAGTTCAAGCGCCCTACGAGGCTGGCATCCCGCTCTCACCCCTTCACTGTCGAAACTCCTAAATGTAGCCGTCTCTTCTACTCCAATAGCTTCATGTCTCGCACCTCTCGCCTGTGGAACTCCCTTCCCTATTCCAGTTTCCCCTGAGTGCTATAATCTCCAGCTATTCAAATGTAATGTCAATCGACATCTCCAGTTGCGTTGATCTATCCACTACCCTTCTCCTCATCCTTTCTTCTATCACTCCTATCTGATCTTACTCCAAATTTTCTGTAACCCCTTGCGTCCTAGTGGCTTCCCGCCTTGCTTGGGGTGAAACGCTTAACCCCCCCCCAAAAAAAAAAAATTTCTTAATAAGGCTTGAGACATTAAAATACTGGTTCTCGTATAATCACCTGAGTTTAGCAAAGTCGATTTTGGTCAGTATGTATATGGTTGGTAACAACAGATGGTGTAAGCTTGGGTGTGCGTATGATGTAATGGATAACGGCTCGGAAATTTGAAATCGGAGACATGGGTTCGAAATTTAGTCTGATTCGTTATATTCACTTATATGTAAATACCCTTAGGAAAGGAAAGAGACCGCCCTTTCTCCTCCTGCTATATATATTTAGAGGCTAAACATATTTTCTTGCTTTAAACAACTTGCGAAATGTTCATAAATCGTAAAAAAAAAACCCAAATCAATTAATCAATTAATTATTCACAGAGCGTTGACAACACTGGAAGTAAAAGATTTATTCAAGAACGAAGTCGTCCTGGTCTCGATCGTAGAATAAAAGCTTCATTTAAAAAACAAATTGTCGATTTATTTCAATAATGTCCCTGGAGATCTGGTTTTATTGTGTGTCTTTCATTAATCAGTAGCGATGAATCGTACCAGAAGTTCATCATATATTACTTTTATTGTTAATTGATCCATTACAATTGGACGTCGGACGCTTTCGTGTTTATGCAATAAAATTCTATTTTCATTCATTTGGAACTTGTTACGATGTATACATGCCTTTGCATGCATCGAAAAAAGCCTATCTGGTGGCTAAATCAGTTGGAAATGTCCTATCCGTAAAACCAGTCAGGTATTCGAAATTCAGAGAAAAATACCAATCTAAAGAAAACAGAATTATCTTGAAAGTGTGGACGACATCTAAGTTGGAGACTAATATTCCACAACTGAATTTAAAAAAAAAATCAATCATCAGTTTGGGCGTTGATGTTGTTATGGTGATATGTTGTGAATAAGCCTGGTCCCCTACTAACCCACTGACCGGCCGTAGACCACAACACCGCAGAACTAGGAAGGATTGAACTAATAATTGCAACTCTTGTTGAACTGTTATTGTTTCTACAAGCAAGAAATTGGCCGTCTGTTCTGATAGTGATTTTCTTTTATATCTCTTATGACTTGTCTTCTTCGTAATTCAGGAGGTTTCGACAAGTTTTGCTTGGGATTTCCACAGATAAAAAACAAAGCAAAAACGGGAAAAAATACTTATAATTTATATATCAATAATAAATATACATTATTCCTGACCAGTTTTAAAATTATTCCTCACATGTTGTATTATCAAGTTATTACTAGTTTTATTCCATCTTATTATTGTTTTGTTTTTGGCACTTTGGCACCAGTCAATCAGTGTGTGTGTGTGTGTGTGTGTGTGATTTTTTTTGTGCTGGTGGTAATAAAATAGTGGTAATAAAATAGAGCACTATTTTATTACCACCAGCACTCAATGCGCAATATTTTACGTTTTATATATATATATATATGTATATTTTGGCAGTAATCCTTCCTTTATGCATGTTTCATTAAAAACGACAGACAGGGTACTACGGTTAAACTTTTTATTTAATTTTTCTTGTGTTCTGACAAGAGCTTTCTTTTCTGGACAAAGGGTGTGTAAGAACTGTCCAAATGTTTTATATTTCCGAGCGCTTTCGGCTATACCTTTAGCCATTATCAAGGATGATTCGATTTTTCAGCTTAATTGAGTGTGTGCGTACTCTGTATGTCTTAGTGTGTGGTGGGGATGTCTTTAATTTCCGAATACGGTTAGCACATTGTGGCTTTGAAAATCGAATCATTCAGACCAGCATTCTGAATAAGGCCAACTTATACTTTAATTCATGTTCCTCGCCATCATGTTTTGATATATTTTAATACTAGTTATAGAAAATAATCTTTCTTTTCTACCACTTAGTCTTATTTGTTGATGATATTATTTATTCTGAAGTTGTGTCGGCCGAAAGGTACCTAAAATTGTAATCGCTGTGATAATTTTGTATCCTCCTTATGAATAAAATATGATCCCTTTTTAAAGATCATTTTATCCTAGAAAAAAAAATAATAATCTAAACACAAATACACACACACACACACACACACACATTATATATATATATATATATATATATATATATATATATATATATTGAGCCAGAACCTATTTTACCACAGATTCACTTGACGGATTGTCAGGGTAAATATGAAGCCAGTACTTTCTGAAGATCCATTTTTGGTGGAATATATCTAAACTATATTTTTATATAGATATCTACTTAATGTATTGAAACTTTTTACGTTGTTATTTAATTTACTCTGTATATTTTTTTTTATTTTACTGGGCATTACATATTGCTGATTGATTATCTTCAACCGATACGGATGTTTTTTTTTTTTTTTTTACTGATTTTTTTTCCTCGATTTGTTCAAATATATTTTTATATTACAAATTGTATTATCCATTTTTTTTTTTTTTCTTTTATATAGTTATTAAATTATTTACATTATATATATATATATATATTTTCTTTATTTAAATTAAAAATGAAAGCATAATTTACAATTGTTATAGTTACATTAAAATTCAAAATTAAAAAAAATTAAAATTTTAAAAAATTAAAATTAATGTAACTATAACAATAAAAAAAATTTTAAAAATTCATTTTTGAAAAAA